ATATATATATATATATTATATATAAACTGCCTCGACTTACATGAGTCAGTCTTTGAATTCACATCTTGATCGAAATTCAAGTCTTAAGACTGAAAACAACAAGCTAAGAAAAATATTAGTTTTTAATAGTATATCATTAAAGAGTTAAAATTTGTTTGATTTAAAAAATGTTTGTTAAAATCTTTGTTTTTGCATTTGTAGTGGCATATGTAGTCGCAGAAATACGTAAGTAAATAAAAAAAATATTTTTGTTTCCTATTATTATTTCCTATTATTATTACATGCTTACAATTCTTTTATATCATTCACAAAAAATATTATAAGTGTTTTTTATTTAGTTTTAAATAATTTGTAACAACACGTATATATACGAACTTAAAATCTTTTAAAAAGCATCAAAATTAAATTAACTTTATTAGATAAATATTTTAAATAAACATAAATATTTTTAAAGAAATGTTTATTGAAAGTTTGAAGCAGTATAGAGCTCAAAAGATATCTTTTTCCAAAATGCTAAACGTATTTTTAATGTATAGACAAATCAATTTCAATAAACGGATGAATCTAAAGTAATAAGTTTAAACAAATATTTTAAATACATACTTTACAGCTTCCTACATTCATGCGTGTAGCCGCAACAATCCAAACTATAATCAATGCGTTATGGATAACATCAATAATGTAAAGGATAAGATTTGCAAAGGATTTCCAGAATTTGACATTCCACCAAATGAACCATTACTTTTTGAAAGTGTTGTTTTTGATGAAGATAATCTCAAGCTTCATTTAAAACAAGCAAAAGTATATGGGTTTTGCAATTTTGTCATAAATTCTGTTGATACGGATTCTGAAAAACTCCACTTTAATATTAATATTTTATATCCACGTCTTCATATAAACACCACGTATGATTTCGCAATACGTTTGTTGGTGCCTATCGCTCATCAGGGATTACTTGAAGCTGTTTCAGGTAAAATAATCAATCTTACATTAAAATAAAGAATTTAAAACAGGAGCAACTTTTTTTAGCATACAAAATCTAAAAATATTATTTTATTTTATTAATATTATACAATGTATTTTTTTTCTACAGAAAATATAATAATGAAGGTAGGATTGGACCTGAAAGTGATAACCAAAAACCACAAAAAACATATATTTGCCTCGAAAGTAAATGTTAATCTCAGTATCAAATCGTTTGAATATAAGTTTGATCAGAGCAAAAAAGAATTAACTCAATTATATCAAATTCTCAATGATAGTCTGAAGAACAATCAGCAGGATATTATTCGTATTGTTAAACCAGAAATAGAAAAAGAGGCTTCCAGAGCAATTATCTCAATTTTTAACGGTATAACCCGTTCTAATTACAAAGAATTATTTCCATAAAAATAATAATTATAAATTGTATAATTGGATTTACTGTTTACGTTATATAAAACTTATGATTATATACTGTATTTTATTTATTATTAATAATAATTTTTTATTAAACAATAATTTTTAATTTCAAAATTTCTAAGTGTTATTTAAAGTTATTATTTTAATAACAAAAAATTAATATTGGAGAATAACTTCGTTGATTTAACATCATTGATGAGTTGCTTTTATTTTTTTCAGTATGATAAATTTATATAATATATAAGTAAAAATTAATATTGATAAATTTTAAAAATAAAAATATAAAAGTGAGATAAAGATTGATAGATGGAAATGTAGAAATGTATTTATAATCAATTT